CCAGCCGTGCCTCCACCCCCCTCAGCCCCTCCTTCAGCTGCGCGTTGCCCGGTTCATGCTTCAGGCCCTCCTCGTAAGCCGCCTTGGCCTCCTCGAAGCGATGCAGGAACTCCAGCGCTGCTGCCTTGCGTGAGTACCCCTGGGTTTGGGGGGGGTGCAAGGTGAGCCCCTTGGGGCTGACACAACTGGGGGCACATGTGGGTGCTCCCCCCACCCACCTTGGCCCAGTCGGGGCGCAGCTCAAGGGTGCGGCAGGCATCGGCCAGGGCGCGGGCGTAGTCGCCCTGACGGGCGTAGGCGGCCGAGCGATTGCTGAAGAGGACGTGGTTGTGGCCATCCAGAGCGATGGCGGCCGTGTAATGGCGTACGGCCCCCACCACGTCCCCCGCCGCCAGCGCCCGGTTCCCCCGCTCCTTCAGCTCCTGTGCCTGTCAAGGGCAGGGGGAGACAGGGAGAGAGGAGGAGGAGGGGGCGAGGAAGGGGAGAAAGGTAGGAGTAAGATGAAGGGCCATGAGAAGGAGAAAGGTGCAAAGAAGAGGTGGAGCATAAGAAGAAAGGTGAGAGGCAGAGGAGGGGCCACAAGGAGGAGAAAGGCATGAGAAAGAGAAGGGGGCAAGGAAGAAGAGAAGGGGCACGAGGAGGAGGAAGGTGTGAGGAATAGGAGGCACGAGGAAGGGGTGTGAGGAAGAGGAGGGGCATGAAGAAGGGGAGGGGGAGGAGCAGAGGGGGGGACAAGGAAGGGTAGAGGAGAAAGGTGGGAGAAAGATGAAGGCCCACAAGGAGGAGGAAGGTGCAATGAAGAGGAGAAGATGGGGGGGGCACAAAGAGGAGGGTGTGAGAGGTGGGACATGTGGAAAACGTGAAGGAGCATGAGGAAGAGGAGGAGGATGAGAAAGGTGGGGGACCACAAGGAGGAGGAGGGGCACGAGCATTGGAGGTCAGGAGGAGGAGGAGGGTGTGGGGAAGATGAGAGTCATAAGGAGGAAGAGGGGCATAAGGAAGGCAAGTGGGTGCAAAGAGAAAAAGAGGTGCGAGGAAGAGGTGGGAAAAAGGTGAAGGAGCACAGGAGAGATGAAGGTGCAACGAAGAGGAGTGTGGGGGGCACGAGGTGAAGTGAAGAAGAGGAGGGGCCGGAGAAGGAAGAAAAGGGGGGGGCAGGAAAAGGAGAAGAATGTGAGGAAGATGAGGGGGGCCCCCAGGGATCCCCACTCCCCCCCCAAGGCTCCCCGCAGCCCGCTCTGGGACCCCAAACACCCTCAGGCCCCCCCCAGACCCCCTCTCCACCTCCCCATTCAGGCCCTCAAGGC